AGGCAAGAATTGTAAGGCTGTCTCACATACTTTGGGCATGATGCCAGGAGGGACCAGTCCTTGGAGAAGGACATCATGCTTGTAAGGGTGGAGGGACAGCGCAGGAGAGAAGAGACCAGATGAGATGGATTGACACAGTAACTGGGTAATGAGGGTAGGTGTGTCAGAGACAGTGAGATTGGCAGGGTTCAGTATTATTGTGTATAGAATTGCTATCAGTTGTGATCAACTGGATGGCACATAACAACAACTATTCATGTCGTGTGCAGCTCTGGTGGCCTAGTGGTAAGCTGTGCTGCAATCCCGAACAAGTAGTTCGAATGCATTTGCTGCTCCTCGGGAGGATGGACAATCTCCTCTGTGCGATTTACTTACTGCCTCTGAATACCTGCTGAAGGGCCAGCTATAGGTCGGTTCCAACTCATCGGCAAACAACAATCATTCATAGTGGTGCTCTGGTGATTCAGTGTTAAGGATTTGTGCTGCCAACCCAATGCCGTTCAGCTCCACCAAGTGCTCCACGGGAGAAACATGGGCCTGCTGGAGGGTCAGCTACAGGTCAGTTGTGCCATGATGATATATAACCACTACCACCATTCATAGAGAACAGGACTTTTCAAAGTCGTTTCACTGGCTCTGTAAAGGAGGATAGTAATAATGATTTGCTCAAAGTCACCCAGACAGGAAGTTCCGGTTATACAAGGGCAAAACTTACCTGCTAATTTTCAACCAAGTCTTCGTTTTAATGAGAAAGCACCAGGGCCTAATGGGATTTGGCGCTGTCAGGGGCTGTTTCAGGGACTGTTCAGTAACTGTTTATGAATGAACGACTGAACAGTGAATGAATGATTGAATAGTGAATGAATGAATTCTGCAAATGGCTTGCTGTTTTCTTTTTAGAAAAAGTAATTCTATGCTCTGCTGGAGAAGGAGGAACAATCTCCTCCTGTACCAGTCAGATCCAATTTGACAGTACACACACACAAAAATAATAAAACTTAAAAAAAGAAATAGAAAAAGGAATTCTAGATATTAGACCTTCCTTTTTTGGATTAATGGAACCCAGAAAGTATGAGGTTCACAGTAATAAAATTTGTCATCAGTTTTCTTTTTAAAAAATAAGGTAAGAGGGGAAAAAAACCCTTAAAAAAACAATGCTACATTAACTGTAAATGGTGGTAAAGGCAGAGAAGATAGGTCCCTTACATATTTGTTTCCACTGTCTTGTTCAATAAAATTTATAGAAATAAAAAACAAACAAAAAACCCCTGTTTCCAAGTGGAAAAACAATGGCATTTTGGATTATTAAGTGTTTCTCAGCAGTAGTAACATGGACTCCTGGGTTTCTGAAATTTACAGCTAAAGTGTTTCATGTTTGATTGTGATTTGAATAAAGAAACACTTTTTTTAAAAAAAGAAAAAGAAAAAAAGGTAAGAAGCAAAGAACAGACAGTGCCAAGGATGACTTTACAGTGTTACTGGGACTAGTGGCTTTGACTACACTTGTTTTGGATACTTTTACACAAGTTCTAGTACTGGGTCAACTACAATGCTAAGAACAATAGTGCCACCTAGTGATACTTTTGGTTATTGTCTCTGAAACAACAGGACATTTAGGGGTTTGTTCTGAAAATTCACCGAGGTTAAATTCACCTCAATCTTCATCGTTTTTTTGTGCAAGAAATATTCATTCAAAAGTTTCATATGTGATATCCCTGATGATAGCCCATGATATGTTTAACATGATTTTCAGTTGTTGTGTGCCATCAAGTCAGAAAGGACCCAATAGCTCACCCTCCAATGGGGTTTCAGAAGCAGTTTAATCACACTGGTGACGATTGCCCTTCTCCAGTGGAGCGCTTGGTGGATTTGAACTGTACACCTTTGGGATTACAGCGCAATTTCCTACTATTAGACCACCAGACCTTCACCAGTATGCTTTCTTTTTAGAATTCGAAGACTCTCTTTCATATCGTTTGAAACAAGTTAATTTTTAGATGCAGCATCTGTCAACAACTGCTTTTCTGGATCAACAAAATTAAACATACACATTAAGACATCCTGATTCCAAAGCCATTAAAGGCAACTTACCTTAAGAAAACAAATCACCTAAGAGTTTACATATAGTTGAAGTTATTTTCATAGAACTGCTTTATCAGGGCAGACGATTTATTAAATGTGTAATATGCAAATGAGTTTTAAAATAATAAAATGGCTTTTATACATATGAATGATAAATAAGAAATGTTCAACAAGAAATTATTCCACTAGAAAACTGTAGGTTTATGAAAAGGGTATTCTATCTGGAAAAGCCTACAAATTGGTACTGCCTCAAAAGTTGAGCTAGTCAGTTAACTCTGTATTTTCACCTCTTAAGTGGGGTAACAATGTCCACACGATGCAGAGTTTTGAAAATCACATTTTGGAGCCAGACTACTCGTCTTACTCATTTCCCCAGCACTCCAAACAGCCTGGCCTGTAACAATTGATAACCACTGGTTTAAGGATGTTCCAGATTACCCTGCCATATCATATACATGTGATACATATTTGGGTCTCAATGTTTTGGTTTTCTTAATGCTTTCAAATCTGGCTTTAAGCAGAACAGTAAAAAAAAAAAAAGGCATGGCTACTATGATTCCAAAGGGTCAAGTTAGGACAAGAGGCGTCCCAGCAGTCATTTCCTCTGTAGTTCTCAGTGTCTCTGCCTGGATTGCAGACTCTTCACCTGATATTTTTTTTTCTACTCTTGCACCTCAATCCATACAAAACAGCCATACTGAGTCTTTAAATCATGGTGTTTTGTTGTTGTTTTTTGCCCAAGTCCTTTGACTTCCCACTCAGGCAAATTCATCCAGGTGTGGTCTGTTAAGTATAGACCCTATGAAGGAGAGTCCTCAACGCTTGGGTGTGTCTCATCCTCTCTCCAGGTTCATAGGGTTTCTTGAGGCAAGCTATTATGGAAGGGGATGCCACTCCTCCTTCCAAGCTTGTTTTAATCAGGGAGCTCCACCCCACTCTCTGCATTGGGTAACCAGCCATTAACACATCTGACACATCAGTGTCAGCATTCAGCCTGATAGCAACCACAAGTGACCGCTGTAAACCTGGGCTATATGATCTAGAGGAATGTCTGAACAAAAACAATGACAGACAGGCCGTAGGGCCACAGATTAAGTCACCCCCCCCTTCAGCTTGGTAGCCTTCTGTCCATTGGGCTAGCTGATCTATGCTGATGTTACTGTTTTTAAGTGCCAGGTGTGGTCTAGGCTCACTGAAATTCAACTTACCATTCAGATCGTGATTTAACCTTTTTACAGCAGCCTCTGCTGACCAGCCACATTCATCTCTTTTCTGCATGTCTATCTCCAACAGTTTCGTACCAGCTGTCCATTTCTACCATGGCAGCCACATCAATCTACTTCACCTGTTTACATAATGTAAGATTTTAAGGTAAGGTAAAATTCTGAAGAACAATTACTATTTAACATGTATCATGTGAAAGCACCAGTGGATCTTCCCTGCAACATTTTGAGTTCCATTTTATTGGGGATTTTCCCTAAACTAGAACAGAAAAAGACAAACCAGGAAAGTACCATTCTTTGCTATGGAGGGAGTGGTAGTGGGCGACCTAGTAAGGAGTTGTGGGTGCTGCTGGCTTGATTGCATACAGCATTGCTATGAAGTCATAACCCACACACAGCTGACCATCCAGCAGGGTTTCAGAGGCTGTATGTCACACAAAAAGAGACTGCCCATCTTTCTCTCAAGGAGCAGCTTGGGGGGGGGGGGTTCTTACATCACCTGAGAGGTGTGGCCTTGGGTTAGCCGAGAAGTACCAGATTCATGAAGGTCTAGAGGACCTCACCCGGTTTTCCTTTCTTTAAATAGCAGCCCTCAGTCTGGTTTTGTGGCTCTAGGGGAGCCCGAGGAGGATTCCTGCCCTCATGGACCCTCATATACAAATGAGTGTGCTTCTCTAAACTTGGGCTTTCATCCATCAAAGAGAAACACTGCTGGCCTGCTTAAACTGTGGCCCTGAGGACTGATAAATAAGTGTAGGAGTTGTGAAACAGAGGAATACAGGACAGAAATGCTTCTTCACTTAAAATTTTAACTGCTAGCAAATGAATGGCATGTACCTGTAAAGCATAAATGAAGAAATGATATGTAAATGCACTGATACTAAGCAGATGAAATGTCAACACTACACTTTCAACAAAGAGGTTGAGTCCGGAACACCACAGCATTAAGTCCTAAGCACTTAAATCAATCTGCAGACTTGGCTATACAATGCTTTTCAGTCCTTCCTTACAATAAATACATGAAACGTCTTCATGCAACAATTCTAGAAGCAGGATTCTTTACTTTCCTGTTTTTTTCCCAGGACAGAATTTTCCAAAGTTTTGTTCAATTAATTAATTACTCTGAGATATTAAAGTTAAACAAGGCTATGTAATGATTTTCAAAAGCAACAGAAATGAAGGCAGGCCTGCCAGGTGTACGTGGCTCCTCCTGGACAGGAGCACGTGAGTTGAGGTCAGTGGTGGAATGCCAACTCCTGCACTGAGCAACTTAGAGCAATTCTTCAACCACTCTGAACTTAGTTCCCATTTGAAATCTGCTTAACAAAAACATCTCTCACAAGGTTGCTGGGAACATACTAAGCCTTCACATGGGAAGTGTTCAAAAACAACTGCTCTTCAGAATTTTGCCTTATCTTAGAATCTTACATCAATAAAATGATTGTTTTCTCAGACACATTCTACAGTTATACAATAATTTAAATGTACCAGAGGCATTAAAAATACAAAGGCATAAGTATTTTATTGCATAATGAAGCACTTCAATTTCAGAGAACACTGTTCTCTCTTTCTCTCTATATATATATGAAAAATCCATTTTATAATAAATCTGCATTATAAGAAGCTGAAAATCTAGGAGACAGAAAGTGAAGTTGAAGGATCCCTCCCCCCCACCTCCCACTCATTTGTCATTATATTCCATTTGAGTCAGAATATCTTTACTTCAAAATAGCATTTTTATTATATAAAAATGTAAAAATCCAGCAAAACCAGAAATACGGATATATTTTCCTGGGATTTCACATTTGTTGATTTTTATTCATAATCTGTTTTTCAATACAATTTACATCCTCATCCCCATTCCCATCCTGATTATACAGATGCTAGTGGCAGAAAGGCCTGGAATAAATACATCCAAGGGAGAGGATAAGAGGCAAAGCTGTGAAGCTACGTGCATGCACAGGTTCTAAGGGGGAGAGGGGAGAAAGTGTCTTGGGAATAAACTCAAGGTAATTAGAGGGTTTCAGCTAAAGTTTGTTCAGTCATCCTTGTCTTTTGCTCCATGTTTCAGGATGCGTGTGAACTCGATGTAATTGAAATTCCCCTTTTTGTCGATCGGAGCTTCTCTGTAGAGCTCGTCCACTTCCTCGTCCGTAAAGCGGTCCCCCATGGTGGTCAGCAGCTCTCTCAGATAGTCTTCCTGAATGGTGCCTAGAAGGCAAGAGAAAAAAGAGAAGTATTTTCCTGGATTTTATCTTTATCTTATGAGACTGCTTACTTTTGGGCTTACAACAAAAGTTTTCTCCATTCACTCCCATGAAAATCAGAAGGTGACTTGGTATTTATTTCAAAGGATTTCTCCACCAAAAAAAAAAATAATCATAACAACAATCAGTAAATTTTAGTTTAGATTAGGATTAGCAGTCAATTGCATCTGAGCAGTGCGCACAAAAAGTATGTGAGGTGGACAGTCCCAATGAGAACTTTTTAGAAAACAGAGCTAATAATCCTAAAAGCAAGGTAAAGATTTGCCCCACAAAGAATTTAAAAACAAAACCAATGATGATTTTGATAAGCAGAGCACAATTCAGCTGGTAATAACAAATTCTATATTCAGTCAATCATTCAATCAGAGATTTTTAAAAAGGCTTTCAAAATGATGAGTATATAACATAATTAAGTGAATGAGACACAAGTGTTAACTTTACAATATCATGGGAACAACAAGCCCTGCTGCTGTAAGTTGTGGAGACAGCTGCTGTCACTGAGATGCACAGCTTCAGAAACCAGATGGAGAGCTGCTCTGAGTAGCAACTGACTTAATGGCAATGGGCTTGTTTTGGTGGTGGTGGGTGTTGTTTTTTAAAAAAAATTTTTTTTCACTTATTTTAAAATTTTTTATCTTTAAACATTTCCTTAAACACGTCTTATTTATTCTGTGGAATAAGGCTGAGCAGAAACAAATACATAGCACCCACCTGTTGCTTCTTCATCAAAGCAGGCAAAAGCATTTCTGATGACATCCTCTGGATCTGTCCCATTGAGCTTCTCCCCAAACATCGTGAGGAACATGGTGAAGTTGATGGGCCCTGGAGCCTCATTCATCATGGCTTCCAGGTACGCATCCGTCGGGTTCTTCCCTACAGAAATTCCCAGTGCAACATTTAATGGCAAAGAACTAACTCAAGAATCACTTACCACACATATAAATATTTATCACTAACACTTGAAACAAAATTTCAATCTGCTTGCATTAGGAACAGTTATTTAAAAAGTTATTTTAAAAGATCTCACATTTATCACTATAAAAATAGTAAGTGGGCTTATAATAGATGGTATTTGCTGATACTTTCCCCTCATTGTTTTTCACTAAAAACAAACAGCTGAAATGATGGATTAGGCAATATTGGACCATTATATCCTGCATGCTGACAATGCTAAAGATCTATCAGAAGAGTCATCACCAGTTATGAAGAGAACATAAAAATTTTTTCTATTGTGGTTTCCAGTCAATGACTGATTGGTAGGTGGGTCAGAGACCATAAGGCTTGCTCTGAATAGAGCAGGGTTCAGGGTTACTGTACATAGGGTCATTGAGTTGAAAGCCACTCAACCGCATATAATAAAAACAACAACATTGTCCATGAATTCACTGTGTACAACATTTTTATTTGTAAGTTTAATTTTTAATTTTAATTTAAAAATAAGTTGTTATTTATAAGAACAATTAGGTTAAAAGTACTAGGTAGACTTGAAGCTGGGAGGTTAAACAGTGTTATATAAACACTACTAGGCTGATCCCCAAAACACTGTTAACTAACATTAAGTCATTTTATATATTGCTTGTAATAAGAAATTTTCATCTCAGTTCCAACAGAGAACACATTTCCTTCTTTCAGTTTGATGGTGAGGAAACGGTCCTGATTTTTCCCTAAAAGTTGAGAGAAACTGCCCTAGAACAGCAAGGGCAGTCACAGCAGTAAAGGGTGCCCCTCCATCCAGGCTCTGTGTGAGCGCCCATGCTGTGGTAAACACAGCTCTGAACAAAGAGTTCAATCCCACGACTGCCCCCTGACTGGATAAGCTAGGAGCAGATGGCAACACATTATGGTTTACTTCCCTTTTCAGTCTGTAAAATGGTCTGGTAGAACCTGATACTTTAAGGTGTGTTCCAGTGCTAATTTGTATGATTTTATGTGAAAATATTTTAAGTTAGATATTCTTCTTGAAAGAAACATGTCAGTATTATCATCAGCCCCTTACTTACTCATTGTTGTCGAGTTGGAACCAAATCATAGCTGACCCTCAGAGGCTGTGAACTGTACAGAGGAAACTACCCATCTTTCTCCCTTAGAACACCTAGTGGATTCAAACTGCCTGCCTTTGGTTTGGCAGCACAACACCTTTTCCACTACGCCACTACACCTCTCCAAACCCAAAATGCTCATAATAAAATTTTAATCCTTAGATTGTGGGTAAAATTTATATATTATTTTTGCATCTATTTTACCACAGTACAATCCTATCTCATTACCCCTAGTAAAGATCCCAATACAAACTTCAGCCGCAAAATAATCGAAGAATTCAATAAGTAATAGTAACTACAAATAGGTTGACTTTTCAACCTATAGATTTTAAACACAACAATACTGGGGAGGGGGAAGTTGATTTCCAAGGTGTTATAAGAACCCTATAAATTAAAAACAGAAATTCACTTGGAAGCTGGAACTGACTTGATGGCAAAGGTTGGTTTTGTTTTTTTAAAAGTAAAAAAAATAACTGACGCTGTCCAAGAGGTGAATCTGTATCTCTGGAGGAATAGGGTTCCCCTAAACAGGAGACCCCAAAATGGGCCTCTTACTTTATTGCAATTTTTCATTCAATAAATATTTACTGAACATCTACTAGGAGGAGGATATGGAGGGCAGTGTTCACTCTTTACAACACAGATAAATCTCTTCACTTTCCATCAGTCTGTGGTGATTTGGCCAAAAGGGTACAATTCGCTAGCTATTTTGAACGTGAAAAAAATGCGATACAATCTACAACATAATCAATTTGTGTTCAGACTGACTGAAGTAAATGTTGCAAAATGCTAACAATTGGGAACTTTAGATCAAAAGCATAGGCCATTATACTGCTTTCACTATACTCTGCACACCTGACCTTTTTAAAAATAATATGGTAGGAAGGGAAAAGACAAAAAGAATAACTAACTAATGGCTTTGTGAAACTGAGGAGGACCTGAAGCGCTTGCTGCAGAAGGTCAAGGACTGCAGCCTTCAATACGGATTGAAGCTCAACATCAAGAAAACAAAGATTCTCACCACTGGGCCAATTGGAAGCATCATTGTGGATGGTCAAGAGATTGAGATAGTTAACAGTTTTAGTTTGCTTAGCTCTATAGTCAACAATCTTGGTACCAGCAGCCAGGAAATCAAGAGACAAACTGCATTAGAAAAGTTAGCTGTCAGGGACCTCTCCAGAGTTCTGAAGAGCAACAATGTCAGGCTGGAGACGAAGGTGCGCCTGATCCAGGCTATATAGTCTTCGCAATTGAGTGCTATGCATTGGAGAGCTGGACAGTGACTACAGATGATAGAAAGAGAAATTGATGCCTTTGAGCTGGGGTGCTGGAGAAGAGTGTTGAATATACCAAGGACTGCTACGAGAACAAACAGGATTGTCCTGGAGAGGGTGAAGCCAGAATGCTTCTTGGAGTCAAGGATTCTGAAGCTTCGTCTGATGTACTTGGGCATGTTGCAGGAGGGACCAGTCCTTGGTGAGGGACATCATGTTTGGGAGAATTAAGGGACAGTGCAGGAGAGGAAGACCCTCGATGAGATGAATCGATTTGGTGATTGGGGT